CGAGGGGGCCGCGCCGTGGAGCCGGGGAACCGGGGGCTCCCGGGCCGGGCCGGGCTGGGCTGTACCGCCATGCCCTCCCCTGCCGGCAGCGGGGCGCGGGGGCCCGCACAGGCCCCGTGGCCCGCACAAGGCCTCAGGGCCCGCGCAGGCCCCGTGGTGCGTGTAGGCCTCGGACCTCCGGCCCGGTGGCCCCTGCGCCGCCTCTCCCCCGTGCGGCCGGGCTGACAGGAGCCTGTCGCCGCCTCACCCCCCCGCAGGTGGCCCCGGCAGCGCCCGGGCGGGCTCGCCTGTCAGCGATGAGGAGGCCGGCAGCGAGGTGCTCAGCCACTGCAGCAGCGCCAGCGAGGGGGCCAGCCCCGCCGAGGAGGCCGCAGGTGAGCCCTGGGGGCTGCTGCCCGTTCCCCTCTGTGCCCCCCCGCCACGTGTGACGGCGCTGCTGCCGTGGCCCTCACCCGTGGGCGCCCCCCACACACCCACACCTTTGCGCCTGGGCACCGGTGTGACGTGAGTGCCACCCTGGCAGGGAGTGAGGCGGTGGGTGAGCAAGGCCAGGAGGAGGAGGTGGAGGACAGGCTGAAGGAGCACATGGACAACCTCCTGGACAAGAGGTGAGGAGCGGCTGTCACCCCCCGTGGGCATGCCTGGCCCGCTGCCCATCCCTGCTGTTGCTGCCAGCCGCAGGGCCAGGCCATGCCTTGTCCCGGGCCACCCCATCCCGTGACCTCCCGTGGTCTCTTGCAGTGCCAAGACGCGGCAGGTGGCACTGCAGAGCCTGCGCCTAGCCTTCTCCTCCAAAATCCTCTCCGAGTTCCTGCTGGAGCGCCGCCTCACGCTCACCGACTCCCTGGAGAAGTGTCTCAAGAAAGGTGTGGGCACAGGCAGGTGCTGGGACTCGGGGTGGTGGGCCTGGTGACCAGTGTCTGAGGGAGGTCTCTTGTGCTGCCCGCAGGTAAAGGGGAGGAACAGGCATTGGCGGGCACCGTCCTCACCCTTCTCTGCCTCCAGATGGGCTCTGGCCCAGAGGGGGAAGAGGTGTTTCGCAGCCTGAAGCCGCTGCTCATCAGTGTCCTGACAGACAGTGCAGCCAGCCCTGGTGCCCGGCAGAGTGTAAGGCCTGGCCCCTTTCCTCCTGGGCACGGGAGGCACCTCAGTGCGTGGCAGAGCCCAGGCAATGCCTTGGGGGATGCCTGTGGTCACGGGAGGGCAGCAGGATTGGGTGCTGTGGGGAGCAGTGGGGTACACCTGACCCGCTTCCCCTCGGGCGGGTGCTGGATCTGGCCCGGCGCTGCCGCCTCTGACTGCCTTCTCCCCACGTTTCTCACCAGTGTGCCACGGCCCTGGGCATGTGTTGTTACATTGCTGCGGCTGACCTTGAGGTAACTGCACCTGGGTGTCATCCGTACCCCTGCTGGAGGGCCCATGGTGCCAGGGCAGCTTGGAGCTGAGCTGGGGAAGGGGCACAGGGACATCAGTCCAGGCCCCTTCCCTGGGCAGCGTGGAGCTGAGCTGAGGGGGGAGCTCCTGGTGCCCCTGGGCCGGGTGGGTCCCCTTTGGTCCCTACTGCCTGGCTTCAATTTGGCATCTTCCTGGCAGCTGTGGCCTGACAGTCAGGTTTCCACCCTCCAGGACCTGGTCTTGTGCCTGTCCTGCTTGGAGGGCATCTTCAGCCCACCCAGCGCAGGCGAGGGGGGCTCAGCACCCTCCCAGCATGGCCCTCTGCACTGCAGTGCGCTCCAGTCATGGTCCCTGCTCCTCACCATCTGCCCTCCCTCCCACGTCAAGAGTGTCTTGGACAAGTGAGTGGGGCTTGGGGGGTGCAGGGGCTGTTGTGGGGCAACCAGCTGTGGAGAGGGGAGTCCCTGGAGTGGTACCTGCCCCCCCTGACCGCCCTCCTGCCTTCCTGTCCCAGTTGCTGGCTGAAGCTGCCCCCGCTGCTCTCCAGCAACAGCGTCGTGCTGCGCATCCTGGCCGGGGAAACCATCGCGCTGGTCTTCGAGCTGGCCCAGGAGGTGGAGGTACTGCAGGGCGCTGGGGCAGCAGGAGGCAGCGGGTGGGCAGGCAGCAGAGCGGCAGGGAGCTGTTGGCACAGGCACCCTCTCCGTGCCCCAGCTGAGTTGGCACTGACAGCACTGGGGCACTCCAGGCTGGCGTCACCAGCGGGTGCCCAGGCAGAGGCGCTGGCTCCAGTGATCCCCCAACACTGTCCTGGCAATGGCAGCAGAGGGCAGTGCCCGGAGCTGCATCCTCTCCAAACCACGCTGGTTGTTTTTTTTTGGCAGGAGGACTTGTGCCATCAAGATACAGAGTTCCTGCGTGCCCAGCTCAAGGTCCTGGCTACCGAGAGTAACAAGTACCGAGCCAAGACGGACCGACGGAAGCAGCGCTCCATCTTCCGGGACATCCTGCGTTTCATCGAGGTACCGGAGGCTGGTGGTGCCCTTCCCTGCTGAGCCCCTGGCTGTGCAGCTGCTGCCCTCTCTGTGAGAGCCAGGGGGACGCACAGGGCTGGTGCCCAACTTATCACTGATGCCCCTCTGCCCGCTCAGAGCGGAGAGTACCAGGAGGAGACGATCCGATTTGGCCTGGAGTGCATGTACCTGGACAGCTGGGCGCGCCAGCGGACCTACCAAGCCTTTAAAGAGGTGCTGGGCTCTGGCATCTGCCACCACCTCCAGGTAGGGGCTGGGTGGTTGTGCCAGGGATACGGGGCCGGTGCTGGTGGGTGCTGACAGACCCCTGCTTCCACAGAACAACGAGCTGCTACGGGAGATCTTTGGCCTCGGGCCCCCCTTGGTGCTGGATGCGGCCGCTCTGAAAGCCAGCAAGGTCTCCCGCTTTGAGAAGGTGAGTGTCCCCACCCAGATTTGTGCCCACAGCCCCCTCCTGTGCCCTCGGTGGGCTCTGGCCGAGCACCTGAGTGTGGTGGACTCCGGTGGGGAGGTGGGCAGAGGGGTACTTCCTAACCCCATCTCTCTTTCCCTCCCCTCCCAGCACCTCTACAACTCGGCTGCCTTCAAAGCCCGCACGAAAGCCCGGAGCCGGGTGCGGGACAAGCGGGCGGACGTGCTGTGACGGGGCAGAGAGGGGCAGAGCCCCCAGCCCACCTGGACTGCAGACCCAGCACTGTGAGGGGCAGGTGCCCCCAGCCCTCGGGCTTTTATTCATGTACAGCAGAGTATTTAATGCCTGGAGCTGCCCCGCCGGGGGCTGCCCCCTCTTTTATTTTTTTAACCAAAAAAAAAAAAAAAAAAAAAAAAAAAAAAAAAAAAAAACGATTTCCTTTCAGTGGAAAGTGGTTCATACATTTCAGATATGAAGTTTCAGAACTGCACGTGTCTAAGTAGTGCACTGAAAACTATGAATGAAAAGCAACACATTGGAGCTTCAAAATAGCGTGGAGTGAGATTTTTCTGATGAGAAAGAGGGGTAAAAAAAAAAAAAAAAAAAAAAAAAAAGAAAGATAAAAGAAGAGCGGGGGGCGGGGGTGGCGTGCTGCTGTGTGCCCGCTCTGCGGCTGGGGCTCCGCATGGCACGGTGGGAGGGGGTCTCACAGGGCTCACGCAGCCCCTTTCGCAGGCAGGGCTCGTGTCCCCCCTCCCCAGTCTCATGGGGGCACTGGGGTGGCCTGAAGGGCTGGGTGGGAGGGCAGAGCCGTGCAGGGCTGCGGGGCAGCTGGCCCTGGTGCCCATGCCTGTGGCAGGAGCATTCCTCCAGCTCCCCCCTGCCACGCTGGGCACAGCCCTTGCCTCCCCGCAGCCGGTCTGGCACCCAGGGGTGGTGGCAGAGCGGTGTGGGGTGGCAGGCGCTGCCCAGCCCTGCCAGCTGCCCGCTCTGAGCCCTTTTCCAGCCAAATGCTTTATACGAAATAGTCCTCTTGTGGGAAATTAATTACAGGGGGGGGTGGCACAGCGGGCGAGTCCCAGTGCTGCCCATGCAGCCTCGGGGGCCGTTGCCCGGGCAGGCGTGGGGCCACGCCAGCTGGGAATGCCTGTCACCCCGGGAATGTGTCTATGGTGGTGATTTTCTAAGACTTTGATTACAGGAGGTAATTAAAAGGCTAATTGGAGGGTGCCTCGTGCCTTCTTGTGAAGAGGAGGGGCTGTCACTGGGGTGGGTGCCGGTCCTTGAAGCCCTGTCCCTTTCTCTCCCAGCCTGGGGTGGGGGCTGGCATTGTCCCCGCCGCTCCGTGGGGCGATGCTGCTGGGTCTGTGCAGAATGGGGGGGTGGTAGAGCTGCCCGCTCCCCCCTCCTGCCCTCCGGTGCCCCTTCCTGTGGTGGCCCAGTGCCCATGGCGGGGCCGGGAGCCGCTCAGCGGTGCCCCCCAGGCTCAGCGCTGATGTTGAGGCGAGCCCAGAGCTGCCTGCTGGCCACCCGCAGCTGGCGTAGGGCATCCTCCTGGCTCTCCAGCCACTGGGCCAGCGCCCGCACCGACTGGCTCTGCAGGACTGCGGGGAGAGGATGGGGACACGCTGGGGACGGGCGGCCTGGCCCTCCCGCAGCCCCCCCTGACCCCCTCCCGGTGCCACTTACCACTCAAGTAGATGGCCAGCGTGGCCAGGACCAGGCTCGCCAGGGCCAGGAGCCCCAGCAGGGCCAGGAGCAGGGGGTGGGCAGGGCCGAGGCAGGGGCAGGGGCCGGCGGTGGGCACAGGGCGCAGGGTGGGCAGGAGCGGCAGGGGGCTGGGGGGCGCAGAGCGAGGCGGGGGCCGGCGCAGGCTGCGGGAGGGAGCTGGGCCGTTGCCTGTGGGCAAGGGAGAGAAGAGGTCAGAGCCCGGCCACCGGCACCGCCGGGGTCTGTGTGGGCCCCCCCGGCCCCGCTCTCACCCTCGGTGCCCTTGTGCCCGCCCGAGGCCCAGTGCAGGTCGCTGATGGACTCCACGGGGCGCAGGCTGATGGCTCCGGGCTCGCTGCCGTCGGGGTCCCCAGCCTCTGCGGGCGCAGCGCCCTCAGCTCTCCCCATGCTGTCTGCGGGGAGGGAGGCAGAGGGTGAGCGTGGCACCTGCCTGCCCTGGGCACCGCCGTGGGGACCAGACCCCCTCCCGGTGCTGTGCCGTGGCAGGCAGCCAACGCCGGTGTTCCCTTGGCACAGCCCTGCAGCCGCTGGCGGGCAAGTGCTGGCCGTGACCCCCCGGCCCCAGCGCTGTCATCGGAGCAATTAGCGGGCACCCAGTGGCCACGATCAAAGCCTCGTTAGTGGGGCTGGAATCTGGCCCTGGCTTGGGGGCAGGAATGTGCCACCCCCCAGCCTGGGTAGCCCAGGCACTGGCTGGGGCTCCCAAGACCAGCTGGGGGCCATTGGGCAGGGGCAGGGCAGTGCCAGCTCCAATCTGTGGCGCAGCTTGGCTTGCCCAGTGGCCACCGTGCTCGTGCACTGCTTAGGGGTGCAGTGATGGAGATGTGGGGTGCGTGCTGTGCCAGGGGGTCCCGATGCCCACCACTCAGGTGGGAGGAAGGGGGTTTTTGGGGAGCAGGCATGGCTCGGTGACCCTCTTGGGAAGTGGCCATGCCCAAGCTGGGGTGAGGAAAGGATTTTTTTTCTGGGTGTTAGCAGGTTTTAGAGCAGCGGGCAGGGCCCGGGTGCTGTGCCCACGGCAGAGCAGGGCAGTGTGGCACCGTGCCCGCTCCCAATCCCTCCCAGGGTCAGTGGCGTGTTGCAGGGCAGCGTGGCGCCGCGCTGCTGCCGTCGGGGCGGTGCGTGCCGCTGGCAGCGTTGGCAGGTATCAGGGCTGCAGGTCCTTGGCTGGTGCCCAGGGTCCCCCTAGACCCTCCCCAGGGCCCTGTCCTGAGCTGGGGGCTGGCCTGTGGGTGCCCCCATCACCCCCACATCCACTCCCCCCACAGCTGGGGGGCACAGACAGGTTGGGTGCATGTTTGGTGGGGGGGGGGGGGGCTCTGCCAGCCAGCTGCCTGCCCCTTCCCCAAACCCTGCTCTCCGTGCCCGCAGCCCTCCAGGACACCATTCTTTCCCGGGTGGGCATCTCTGCCCCCCGCCCCTGTGTCGGGAGGGCAGCGTTTGGCTGCTGTTTGCATCCCAACCCCATGGCCCTGTGCCGCTCGGTCCCCCACCACCACCCCAGGGTACCAGGGCCCCCGCCGGGCCCCAGCCCACTCCCCAGCCTACCTTCTGCAGCCTCCCTGGGCATGGCTCCCTGCGCCCGGGCAGCGTGAGCGGGCAGCGAGGCGGTGCGGGGCCCCCGGGAGCTGGGCACTGGGTTCCCAGTGCGCCAACTGCACCGCTTAAAATAGGATAGTGAGAAACACGGCTGGGGGGGGCGATAAAAATAGTCAAGGGGAGGAGGGGGGGGGGGACCGGCGGTGCGGTCAGGGCAGCACGGTGCCAACGTGGCAAAAGGAGAGCAGCCTGTGGCAGTGCCCCGTGCCCCCTTCCCAGGGTAAAGGGGCTGCCAGCTTGGCATGGGATGGGGATGACAGCAGGGCAGAGCCTGTGTGGGGAAACTGAGGCATGGGTGGGCCCAGCAGGCGCCAAACGGGGGTCTCTGCCACCTCCTGGCAGCAATGGCCATTGTGCCCAGCCTGGGGGTACCACAGAGCCCCCCCCTGGATTTGCCCACAAGGACTATACCAGCTGTGCCACAAAGATTTATTTAAGTTAACAAGACCATAGGAAGCACTAGGCAGTAGTGCTGCCAGGATAGGGGACCATGGTGGTCCCCAGCCCTGGTCACCAGCCCCACGTGCCCCGTGGCAGGCAGATGTCGGCGGGGGGGAGGTCGTTGTACCCGTAGAGGCTGTAAGCGTGGATGGGTGACAGGCAGGAGGCTGTAGGACCAGGCTCAACCCGCTGGGCACAGTCCTCACCAGTCCAGCCGTGGTAGCAGTGGCAGCGGAAAGTGTCTGTTGGGCCAGTGCCGAGGTGCAGGAAGTTGCCCAGGTCATGGGGCTGCCGGCGCACGCAGCGCCCGTGCCCATGGCACTGCCCGTAGCTGCACTCCCAGGCTGCCGCCGTCACGTTGGCCACGTAGGGACCCAGGGTGGACACGAGGTAGTGGCGCAGGCTGGCACAGCATTCCTGGGGAGGGGGGAAACACCTGTGAGAACCCGCCCCAACACTGGGGTCCCTCCGGCCGCCTTTCCCTGGTGGGCACAGGGGATGTGGCCATCCCATATGTCCCATGCCAGCTCCGGTGCCCCGGTGCGGCGAGGGTCCATACTCACAGCCGAGCGGGAGTACGACATGTCTCCCCAGAGCACAAGTCCAGCCGCACCCAGCGCTGCGCTCTCCCCAATGGTGTGCACCAGGTCAGCCTGCCGGGGAGAGACAGACAGACAGACAGACATACATCACCAGGCTGGGAGGGGGGGGGGCAAGACACATCCCGGCACCCAGCGGGACCCCTGGCGTGCCCACCGCCCAGGCACATGGCACTCACTAGCTCCAGGAATCGGGGCGAGCGGCGGAAGGAGAGGCGGGAGTAGGCGACCACGGGCAGGAGGCCATCGGCCCCGAAGGCGGCCACCCGCAGGGCCTCGCGCAGCCGGTGGTGCACGTAGCGGGGGCGCAGGGTGGGTGGCAGCGCCGGCGGCAGGTAGATGCTGGGGTAGAGGGCGGTGGAGGCGGCCCAGAGCCAGCCCAGCTGGTTGTTCCGCTCCACCTCCGCTGGCCGGCACTGCCCGGTGTAGTTGGCCTCCTTGGCCCAGTTGGCGTTGAGGCAGTCGGGGAAGCGGTAGAAACCCCAGAGTCCCCCCGGGCGCAGGGTCCTGCCCAGCAGAAGCGTCTCCTCCATCAGAGCCCGCGCCGCCCGCTCAAACTCCCGCCGTGCCAGCCGCAGCCGCCGCCGCGCCGGCAGGAGGCCGTGCTGGTCCCGCACCCACTGCTCCGAGGCTGCCCGGTAAATCCACTTGGCTCCCCAATTTTGGGCCCAGAGGGGCCTCCACTCCTCCCAGTCCACCACGGCCAGCCCGTGGAAAGCGGGGCGCAGGAGGCGACGGATGTCCCTGGTGGCCCTGGCAAGGTGGACGCCAAGGGGGACGCGCTGGGGGATGCCCCCGTTGCGGGGGATGCCCTGCCGTGACAGGTAGGGGTACAGCCCAAACTTGTTCTTGTAGAAGATGGTGATGTTCTGGCCGGCGAAGTGGCCATCCCGGTTCTCCACGATGCCGTAGTTGCTGAGGGGCAGCTCCACGCCGAAGCGGCGCTGGCAGCGGCCAGCGGGGATGTTCCACACCACGGCGAAGGGCCGGCCGCCTGCCAGGGGCTCCGGTGCCGGGCTCTCCCCGCCGGCCGTGCCCAGCGCCAGGCAAGCCCATAGTGCCAGCGCCGGCACCATCCTGTGTCGCCGGCTGCCTGCGGGGCCGGCACCCTGTGGGGAAAGGAGAGCGGTGGGGTGAGGTGGTGGGGTGCAGCGGGCACCCTGGCTGTGCCAGTGCTGCTCACCTGGCCTGTGGTGCACTGGGACCAGCCACAGGGGCTGGGCTGCCCCACGGGCACACGCTGCCCACCCCAAAATCCCATAGGACTCGGCAAACTTGGGGGTTTCGGACACCTCCTGCCTCACCTCTGCCTGCTGTGCCCCACTGCCCACAGCCCCAGCCATGGCACAGCTCTGGCGTGGCACTGCAAGCTGCCCACCCCGCTGCCTCAGTTTCCCTGCCGGCTCGCGGGGACTGGCACTGCAATCCTTTTTTCCCCATTTTGTAGCAGGGCTGAGCCCTGCTGGGCACTCTGCCGAAGGGCTGAGCCCCCCGAGAGGTGTGGTGGAGCCACAGGGGCAGCTCTGTTTCCCCCCCCCCTGAGCCTGGGCAGGGAGGGAGGGGGCTGGGTGCCCATGCCCGGTGCCAGCCAGCCGCCCGGGGCGAGGGGATTAGGCAGGGGATGGGCCCAAGGGCTGCGTGACACAGCAAGGACAGCGCTAATCCCCCCGGCGCAGGGCCCGGACGCTCTCCATGACCTTCCTGCTCCAGTGCCTCCAGCCCTCGCTGCCACCAGCTGCCTGGGGGGGCAGGTCCCCCTTGCGGGTACAAGGCAGGAGGGACCCTGCAGCCCACACCGTCCTGCCCTGCTCCCCCCAGCACCACCCCCCCCCAGTCATCGTGAGCCCCCGTTTCCCCAAGCTGAGGTTTCCCCAGGCTGCTCAGAGGGGAGTGCAGCAGTCACGGCAGCCCCAGCTGCCCGCAACAGAGTCCCACTGGTGGGACTGGGCAGCGCTCCTGGGACCAGCCCGAACCCCAGACCCTGCGGTGGCCCAAGCTCCATGCCACGCTGGTGGTGGTCCCGGGGCTCCAGCTGGGCAACCTGGGGGCCGGGCAGGAGCGGAGGGAGGGCAAGGAGTGGGGACCACCTCACCCCAGCAGTGGGGCCAGGGGGAAGCGGGGAGCTGGTTGCCAGCCCCGAAGAACGGCAGGGAGTCAGGCAGCGCCGGGGCAGGCAGCCCCCACCTGCACCAACTTTTAATCACCGGCTCGGGGTCCCAGCCCCTCAGATGTCCTTCTTCATCCAGAAGATGGGCAGCCCTTTGGCATCGCGGTGGGGGGTCTCCAGGAGGCTCTGTTCTCTGCTCTCGGCCAGCACCCCCCT